TTGTTGAACGTTCTCTCAGTGTCTCCAGATATCTATTATTCCCTTACATATATACATTATAATATACTGTAATGAGTGGTTATACTAAGGAAAGTGGGTTGTTGGAGCACAAAGTCATGAAATGGTACACAGAGGAGTTAACATTTGAACTGAATCTGAAGGCTACAGAGGAGTTTGGCATATAGGAAAAAGAGACATTCAAGTTTAGAAATCATAGAAATGAGGTAATTTATGAGTCCATCATAGGCTTTAGATACCAGACTACATTTCCTACTCCATACTCTGTCTCTTCTATCCTGATTCCTTCCTTCCATTCTCCATTCTCCTGATCACTCTTATGCTCTCACCCTCCTTAAATGAACTTGCTTTATTCTTTTGTTCACTCTAGTTCGGCTGTAATCCATTACTAGTTTATACAATGTTTTATTTTTTACTCTTGTTAGTATCTTTTAGCCGTATATATCATTAATCTTTATTCCTTTTACACAGTTAGTCTCAGCTAATCACATGAATCATTGACAATTGCTTTTTTTTTTTTCCTACTCCCAGGATGTAAGAGCAGTCCTAAAACCACAAAATCAACTCAAACTCAAGACTCATTTCAAGGGTTGATAAGGAAAAGACTAAAAAGGGATGAACCCTGGGACTTCATATTAGAAAAACCCTGCATAGATGAAGATAGATTAAAGAAATGGGACAAAGCTGAAAGTTTACAAATAATTTCAATCACTCATACAAAAATCCTCACCATAGGTGGAAGCCATAAAAATAATGAATTTGGCCAAAACTTCAACCTGAAATCAGTCTTCATTAAGCAACAGAGGTTTGCTATAGAAAAAACACCGTCAAAATATGAAATACAAAGAAATAGCTTCAAGCAGAATTCAAATTTACGTAACCAACCAAAGATCAAGGCAGCAGAGAAACACTATAAATGTAATACATGTGAAAAAGCCTTCATTCACAATTCATCTCTTCGTAAACATCAGAAAAACCACACTGGAGAGAAATTATTTAAATGTAAAGAATGTTTAAAAGCCTTCAGCCAAAGTTCTGCTCTTATTCAACATCAAAGAACTCATACAGGAGAGAAACCCTATATATGTAAAGAATGTGGGAAAGCCTTCAGCCATAGTGCATCCCTTTGTAAGCACCTAAGGACCCATACTGTGGAGAAATCCTATAGATGTAAAGAATGTGGTAAATCCTTCAGCAAAAGGTCTGGCCTGTTTATACATCAGAAAATCCATGCTCAAGACAATCCCCACAAATATAATCCAGGTAGGAAACCTTCCAGTTGTAGTACTTCCCTTTCTGGAGGTCAAAGAATTCATTCCAGAAAGAAGTCCTACTTGTGTAACGAATGTGGCAACGCCTTTAAGTCTAGCTCATCCCTTCGTTATCATCAGCGAATTCACACTGGAGAGAAACCTTTTAAATGTAGTGAATGTGGGAGAGCCTTCAGTCAGAGTGCATCTCTTATTCAACATGAAAGAATTCACACTGGAGAAAAGCCCTACAGATGTAATCAGTGCGGAAAAGGCTTCACCTCTATTTCACGACTTAATAGACACCTAATAATTCATACTGGAGAGAAATTGTATAATTGTAATGAATGTGGTAAAGCCTTAAGTTCCCACTCAACACTTATTATACATGAGAGAATTCACACTGGAGAGAAACCGTGTAAATGCAAAGTGTGTGGGAAAGCCTTCAGACAGAGTTCAGCTCTCATTCAACATCAGAGAATGCATACTGGAGAAAGACCCTATAAATGTAGTGAGTGTGGGAAGACATTCAGGTGTAATTCATCCCTTAGTAATCATCAGAGAATTCATACTGGAGAGAAACCATATCGATGT